AACGTGATAGCCTTCTGAAACTTAAAACTTGCCTTTGTAGACAGCCTCTAAATAACTAGAGATATTATTAAATCTTTTGATATATAGAATTTAGACAAAAATTCATTTGGCCTCAAGAGGAGTTGATTTTTTTTCTTTTATTACTTGCCCTAGTGCAGTGGGGGGGGGGCCGGGGGAGATCGAGAGAGATTTGTTTTCTAGGCATCCTTTCTGTTTGCTTATTGTTTTATTCCGACTCTTAACTACCCACAATAGCCCTACCTCTGTTCACATATCCTTTTATCTGGTGTTCTCCAGGTTACAGGCACTCTCACAGTCTGACCCTGGGCAATATGCCTGCCCCAGAGCGCAAGGCTGAGGCTGAGTTTGTGGGGGTGGGCAGGGCACCCGCCCTGCCCAAGAGCTCCTGGTCTTTGTTAGGATTACCAAGCAGTGAGACACTCTCGGGCCAGCCTGGAACTCCCGGCCCCACTCCTGCGTGCTTAGCCCTAGCCCCCTGAGGACTTGTAAGCAGATAGGCTGGAGTTGAAGAGGCTAAATTACGCCCCAGGGGACTTTTTAACGAAAACCCTAAATTTCATTTGGGCGACTGGTAGGGCACGCGGTTGCATAGAGTGAGCTGAGGTTCCTTCCTCCCTCCCTGCACAGGCTTTGTGCTGCTCTGGCTAGAGGAACCCTGTCCCCTACAACAGTGAGGTGCCCCTGGGTCTGGCCACCACTGCCCCTCAGCATCTCCTACAGCTCCCAATCCTTTGGCTTCCTTCCACGTCCTCTTCCTGTCCCCCTCCCCAAGTCACTCTTCTCTCTGGCTGGAGAAAAGACGGTAATAAGAAACCAGTTCAGTGTCAGTCGGAGAGTCGGGAAGAGAGAGAGACCTCCGCCCCCCACCCCTCAAAAGATGCACGACCATGGAGAGAGAGAGAACTCATTTTGTGCAAAGAGGGCCTTGAGCCACCAGGGAATTCCTGGATTGTCTCAGGCTGTCGTGTGTGATGTCCATCACGCCGTGCGAACACCATCTGCTCCGTATTATGCTCGCAGTTGCCAGGCTACCTGCTGTACGCAGTAACACTTGACTGCCTGGCTCCACGTCCGCAACGCCGGCCCTGATGGGGCGGGGGACCGAGCCCTGATTAAGCCATCTGCGATGGGCGGGGGGCGCGGGCTCAGCGCGAAGCCTGGAGTGTGGTCCTAGGCTCACACCACCATCTGCTGGGCTACTGGCAGAACAGCAGCTGTTCAAGAGGGTCCCCTCGGGGCCAAGTAGCCCAGGGCCTCCTGGATCCAGATACCTAGGATGTCTTATCCTGTCCCTCCCAGGAATCCATCATCCTCCATACTCGCTGCATCTATCACTCTCTGGCCCCTATCACCCTATCACCCAAACGCCCCATGTTATTGGGGGAAAAATCCCTTCAGAGAAAGCAAGTTTCCCCACAAGTGGGTTTATAAATAAACAGCTGGCGTTCTCGGAAGATATTTTTATCGCCTGATTTTTGAAGTCGGAAACTGCCTCTTTGGGGGAGGATACAGTGTTTTTTACACCCTCCTACTTCTCTCTAGCCCTTAGAAGATTGCTAAGCTCTTGTCCCTGGAGCATAAGGTGCATGTGTATTTGGTTTTGATCTCTTTTGCCTCTCCTTTTACTGAAAAGTGAGAGTGTTTGGAGAACCACGAAGATCTACATAGCAAATTGGAAGAGATGGGAAGAGAATGTATTAAGATTCTGGGTGGAAAGCAAGGGAGGTCGCTGGGCTGAGAGTGGAGAACAAACCAGTAATTAAAACTAAAAATACTGCATCATTTGGCTCCGAGGCATTACATGTCGAATGACGAAAGCTCACTCTGGTTTTCTCTAATTGCACAACCCAGTGTGTCCCCTCCTTAGAAACAAGAGCAGGGGGCTTGGAGTCCTAGAATTTGACAGGCTCTTTCTCATTAAGCCCTCTTAGATTCGAGGTTAAAAGAAGCTGTGTGACATAAACAGCCGCCTGTACCAGCTTCATTTGGAAAACCAGTCACGGTATGCTTTCACACTTTGAGACACACACCTGTGTGCTTGCCTGGAAGGCACTAAAGATACTGAGTTTGAAAGGGAACATTCTGGCCACTGGATCTTGTAGTCTGCATTGAGAACTTTGGGGACAGGAACATTTGGGGAATGACATAACCCCAGAGGTAATACATTGACTGTGTCTGCAAGGACAAAATGTGGCTGATTGTATGAGCATCCTCACCTTATTTGCCACACTTATTTTCCCAGGGGAGAGAAGGCTGGAAAAGCAGGTCCTCCACTCCTGGGTACATTCCTCAACTATGCCAGGGGTGGGGGGGCACATGAGCATTAAAATCTCAAAAGTGCAAGAAGAGAAACAAGGCCAGTAAGAGCAGCCCATTCACAAACAAGCTAAGGAAAGTGGTATCTTTCCTTGGGTCTCATTTTTCCCTTCAAATCTCCATCAAAACCAGGAAATATTAAATAGGCCGAAATACATGACAAAAAACAAAACAAACAAACAAAAATAACTATTATCTGTCCTTTTGCCAGTTAGCCAGTTTCACTCAAGAGTTAACTCATTTGTGAAAGTGTTAAGTTGGTCAGCCATTTGTCTCTCGAGGTGGCAAGAAAACGACTAGATCCTGGAGGAAGATGGACATAGACACAGGTAGCCCACAGAACTGGAAGATAAGGGAACTCTCTCATGTACCTAGATCCCTGAAGCTGTGCAGAGCATCCATCTTTTAGCAGAAGGCATTTTATTAACATTAAAAATATTTCATAGCTCTCTGCCTGACTGCAGAGCACATGTATAAATAAAAGCATCTGTCGTGAACTATCGTGAACTATAGCGATGGCTCAGCAGCTAAGAGTTAAACTGCTCTTCTCAGACCAGAGTCTTGTTCCCAGCACCCACATCAGGAAGCTCACAACTGCCTGTAACTCCAGTTCCAGGGGATCCAATGCCCTCTTCTAACCTCTGTGGGTGCAGGTACATAGGGGCATGCATATACACATAATTTACTCAGAACTTACACACAAAATACAACTCAATATGTCTACGAGCAACATATTTCACATTTAGTCTACAAACTATTCTTATGTATGTGCTTGGCACTATGGACTCATAGTTCAGGGAAGGCCACAGTGGAAAAAATATTGACATAGATTCAAAGTCAGCACCCTGGTTCTCTAACAGACCATCCAGTTACTGGTGTAGTCTGAAATATACAAACTAACCATATCTCCCACAGTTAATGTTTTTAGGGCAATAGAAGTGATTTGCTTTGCTTTGCTTATGCCATTCTGTTTGGATGCAGGGAGGAGGAAAGTCTGGAGATACAGCGTAGGTGGAACTTGGCCAGAAAGGACCACCTGTCTGGGTCAGCACCAGGCAAAGAGGAAGCAGGAGGCCCAGCCAAGCCAGGATTGTAGGGAATCAACCCCAGACTGACCCTGGAGAAACAGACATAAGCTTATTTTTGTATTTTGAGAGAAAATTGCCAGTGAGACCAACCACATCTATATTAGAACAATAGCAACTCTTAAAAGGAAGAAATTATTAAAATCCAATTTGGATTATACCTTAAAATAATAGTAGGTATTCACATTGTTCCTTCATATTAGGCCCCATGAGAATGTCTTGTGCTACTGCTGTTGCTGCTTTGTATGCCATTTAAGTGGAGTGTCTCTGTGCTGAGATTGGTTGCACTCAGAGAGCATTCACCATTGCTGGTGTGTTGATTTAAGTGTCCAGAAACTGAGTTTTGTGTTTACACTCATTCTGTACCTGTTAGCTTTTTTCCCTTGGTAGCCTTCACTGTCCAGCTGCATAGACTTCCCTTCTGAGGGCATCCTCCAGATTTCCCCTGGGCTCTGTGGGATTTACCCCATTATCTCTCTTCCCTAGGGGTCAGTCCATAAAAGTTGCTGTCAGCTCTCTGGCAAATAATTATAGAATCAAGAGTCCCAACCCATCTCCCGGTGCTTGAATTATCCCAGACACATGAGACACAATTCTATTTTTAAAGAGATTAGGAGATTATATTGCTTTTAAAAATGTATTCCTTCTCATTTCATATATACATATATGAAATGTATATAAATGTATATATATGAAATCTATATAAAACATGCTTTGATCACATTGCCCCACCATTATCCTCTCTTGTCCTTTCCCCTCCAACTGAACCCCTTTCTCTTCCCAAGAAAATCCTCTCTTAAGATGGCACACACCTTTAATTCCAGCGCTCAGGGGGCAGAGACAGGTGGAGCTCTTAAGTTTGAGGCCAGCCTGGCCTGCAGAGTGAGTTCTAGGATAGGGTTACAGGGTTACAGAGAAACCTTTTCTCAAAAAACAAACAAACAAGAAGGATTATACAGCTTTGATCAAAGTAGAACATTTCAGTTCCTACTACCAAAACTCTGACAGAATTTAAAGCAGACACGGACACACACACACACACACACACACACACACACACACACACACACTGGTGTCTTGGTCAGATCTGTTGGTTATCATGCTCCAGCAGTGAATGTGTTCTGTGTGTGTCTCACCTGTTGACTAAGATGTCCGTTCTGGCAAAGTAGACAGTAAGGAGTAGGATTATCAGGAAAGGTAAGGATGGATGTTGCCTTTGAGACTTATGGTGAGCCCAGCCTGAGGAGTTATTTACTTTCTTCGAAGAAACAAGTGTATTGAAACTCCAGTGGACAGCCACTCTGCTATCCCATCAGAAACAGATGAGCTGGCTTCCCATTTCCCAGACCTATTCTCTACTGTTGTGTTACTGTTCCCCATCTCTGTGGCCTCCCCAATTCTACTATGGTGAGGCCCAACACAATGGTTTTCATGGAAAGTTACAAGGTGGTTTTCTGGGGGTTGAATGGTGGGATCCCCAAGCTAGGACTTCTGCACCATTCCCCTCAGAAGTTTCCCATGAAACGGCAGGAGGTGTCCCAGCAGAATTTCTAAGTTGTTTTCTTCTGGTCCCTCTAGGAGCAGCACACAGTCGGTCTTCCCAGGACCACAGGCCCCATGCAGAACTCTGTGCCCCCAGGGTCGAGCAGCATGGTCTCGGGAGCCAGTCCTGGGGGTCTTGGCTTCCTCGGCGGCCAGCCACAGGCAGCCATCATGAAGCAGATGCTGATGGATCAACGAGCCCAGCTGATGGAGCATCAGAAGCAGCAGTTCCTTCGGGAGCAGAGGCAGCAGCAGCAGCACCAGCAACAGCACCAGCAGATCCTGGCTGAGCATGTAGGTAACACCCCCTCCAAGGTGTAGCCGTCAATCCAGCTCCCACTTATTTGGCACCTGCTGTTTGTCCCCATAAAAATGCTCATAGACCAACCCTTCACAGTAGCATAGAAGAACCTGTGGAATTTATGCCTTTTCAATTAGCTAGGCTTTTCTCCTATAATGAATTAGTTGGTCCTTTAAAGACAGGCTTTCAGCCATCAATTTGAAGTCCTGTTTCCTGAAGACAGTTCTTTCATTCATGCCTGACTCTTCTTCTCCTAGTTGCTGGTACAGGGGTCTTTATAACTAGCATGTGGTGGGGCTACCTGACATTTACCACAGGCCCTGACACTGCTAGCATTAAGCAAAATGGCAATGATACAAATAATTTGTGAGCTAGGAATATACAGTTCAGTTGGTAAAGGGTTTGCCATGCAAGCTTAAGGACCTTGGTTCACCTGCAGAAGCAGTGTAAAAAGCCAGGCATAGCAGTGCTCTGACATCATTCCAGAACTGGAGAGGTGAATCCCGGGGATTTGCTAGCCAGGTCCTATCTCATAAACCAAGGTAAAAGGAAGTTCAGTGTTGATCTCTCTCTCTCTCTCTCTCTCTGACACACGCACACAAAGTGGAGAATTATACTGAATTAGTTGTACATGGAAGACTGGCAACATTACAGTAGGCACAGAACTATCAGGGAACTGGGATAGGTCGAGGAGAGGGTGCAGCTGGAGAAAGCCCCAACACTTTTTCCTAGATCTCAGGCAACCTGTGAGTTAAAAGATGGCCTAATACAAACTGCTTTTTACCCTAGGCCTCCTTGCCCACCCCAGCCATATAACTCTTCCAGCTCTGAAAGAAAGCCTTCCCTGCAGACAGCCTCTGGAAGCTTTGATTTGTTTTGTTTTTAGAGATGCTGGTGCCTGATTTAGTGTTATCCCAAGGAACTCCCTAAGACTGTGCAGGAGAGATCCCTGCTTAGGGTGTCTCACACAGCAGACAGGCTCTGTATCACAGGTGTGAGGCTACCCTGGGAGGCCCAGCAACACTTTGACTCTTGCTCATTCTTGTTCTAATAGAATTAGAATTTTGGAATTCTCTCTTCAGGGCACTGAGTAGGATACAGGTACATCAAAGTCCCTACCCACCAAGAACAGCAGTTACAAATAACACCAGTGGCCCTCCAAAGAGAAAAAGGTGTACTGTTGAGCATAGCTTGCTTATGTTCCTGGTTTTTGCTTTTGTTCCTGAACAGCTATGTAATTATCTCCCTTTTTACCAAGGTCAGTCAGCCACCTGGCAGCTATTGTACAAACAACCCTCTATCCCTCTCACCCTGCATAAGGTGTGTGACAAGGAGCTGTGCTAATATCTCTCCGGCAGTGATAAATGGAGCTGCTAAGGGACTCTGGGCTTTGTAAATCTCTCCTCCACCAAACCCAGGACATTTTCAGGTGTGCCTGGTGCCCTGAGAAATGATTTCTGATACATGTGCTGCAGCCAAGGCACAGAGGCAGTCAGAGCAAGCAGGCAGAACTCATCTGTGCCCACCCAGAGGTGCGCTCGCAAGCCACGCCACAGCCCACTCAGCTAAGCCCTGGGGAAGGGATGAAAAGGGAAGTGGCAGATTGCAGGAAGAGTTATGTCAAACACATGCCTGTGGACAAGGAGACGAGACAAACCCCTCAGAACTAGGGCAAGATGGGACTACCTGGAGAACATGGAGGAAACAGGAAACTGAGTTGCCTTAGCAACTGTATGCGCAAATTAGGAGGGACCAAGTCAAAATAAATTGGTGAAGGGTGGGGACTTGTCCATCCTTTCACAGTTAATGTGATTTGAAACAAAGAAATAAATCATGTAAGGCTGAAGCGATGGGTAAAATGCTTGCTATAAAAGCATAAAGGCCTGCATTCAATCCCAAGTGCAGTAGTGTCCATCTGTAATCACAACATTCCTACAGTGAGATGGCAGAACATGGGGACACCCAGAAGCTACCGGGCTAGCTAGCTGATATAAACAGAGGCAAGCAGGAGACCCTGTCTCAAACAAGATAGAAGGTGAAGGCGAATACCAAAGGTTGTCCTATACCTTCCACATAAGTGCCTTGGCACACACCACACACATACATGTGCGTGTGTGCGTGCATGTGTGCGTGTGTGTGTGTGTGTGTGTGTGTGTGTGTGCGTGCGCGCGCAAATGAGAAGATATGTTCATGTATAATTTTATTAAAAAACCAGTCTGTCTTCAACTAGCAAGTTAGGCTTGCATAATTTTCTTGTCTTAAAGATTACTTGAGGTAATGGTATGCAAACTCCTTAGGAAACCATATACACAAATGTATTTGGGAATGGCTCAAAGAACACATGAGAGCATTAGGGGTTGTAGAAAAGCTACAGCCTCACGTGCCATCCATGTCAAGGTAACACCCTGCCTGCCTCTGCCCTGTGTGTTGTTCATGAGTGCAGTTGACTTGGGCTCCTCAGTGGGATGGTCTCTGCTTTCTGACTTGAGATTTCTTTGCTATTGTTGCTGGCAATGCTGGTGATGGAACCCAGGACCTCACACATGTTAGGCAAGTGCTCTATACTGAGCTGCACCCCAGCCCTGGAAGTAAATAGTGATTGTCACATCAGTACCACAGTGACTCTGATTGTCTCAGTCTCTGCAGCTTGAGTTCTGGAAACAGCGTATTGGAAACACTTGTTTTTCCTGAAAGCCCATGTGAAGGAAAACAGGATTGGAGATCCTGCCCATCTTCAGGAACTCAACTGACCTGGCAATCAGAGCCAAGAAGGTTAAAAGCAGGTGGAGACTGAGGCTAATGTTATCACAAGCGTGTAGCATGTCCCTCTCATCCATTCACACAGGTTGAACAGAACTTCCCATTTGACTTTCAGATAAAGTCCTGATTATGAGGTCCCATCATTTACAGGTGGGAAGACTGAAGCTGGTGAGGAGCTCCGGTGGTTCGAGACCACACACTTAGGAAAGGGTAGAGTGAAAAGGAGAGTAGAGATAGAGAGTCCTGATTCCAAGCCATACCCTAGCCCCTGTTACACACTTAGTACTTCCAGTAAATGAGGCCATTAAACTTGGATACTGTATGGGAAGTTTGACAAGGGGAAACTGTGTGTGTGTGTGTGTGTGTGTGTGTGTGTGTACACGTGCGTGGTTGCATTCTTCTGGCATTGTCCACCTCCTTTATTAAGAATCTCTCCAGACCTGGAGCTTCCAGAGCAGGCTAGACTGTTTGGCCAGAGAACCATCTGCTTCTGTCTGGGATTACACCAGGCCTGATTTAAAAAAAAAAAAAAAACCTGGGCTCTAGGACTCAAACTCAGGGCCTCAGCTTTTGAAGCAGTTAATTACTTTGCTGACTCAGCTATCTCCCCAGGCCAGGAGAAACTTTTGAAAGCTTGGCCTGCTCTCAATAATGTCCTCGCATTATTGCCTGAAAGGTTTGCATGGTTTCTGGCCTGCGCTCATAATGGTCTATGCATTGATTAACCTCTTTTTGTATAGAGTCCCACGGTAGACACACAGGCTGGGGTCAACAGGGCAGAGGCTGTTTCTGGTTTTTTTTCCCTTTGGATGCCAGAATGCTGGCTGGCCTTTTAGAGGAAAAGAAAGAAAAACAGAAAATTACAGACCTCCCCAGGAGCAAACATGAGAGAGAAAATAGAAGTGTGCATGTGGTAAGAAGTGGCCAGTGGGTGTTATTTTTATAGTAGGCGCTCTGAAGAGCAGGGATCTGGTTGCGTGTTCTTTGGCCCTCATGGATGAGAAGTACTTAATGAATATTCAGCGGCTGCTGGAAAGAGGTTACAGGCATTCAAGGTCACATGGCTGCTTGATGGCCAACCAAGAACTCAAAGCTTTTCCCCCTGCCCTGTGTGTCTCTCCTTTACACATGATAATGATCCCAACAGCCTGCCCAGCATGTTGGTAAAGATGCTTGTGGCATTGAAATCCCACGACCAAAGAAAAAAGACTAGAGGTGGGCCTCCAACTCCCGGAATAGTTGGGTCTCACATGTCTGCTTCAGGGCAGCAAATTCAGAGGGTTTTGGATTTTTTGTTTTGGATTTCTGTGGGTTTTTTTGTTTGTTTGTTTGTTTGTTTGTTTTTTGAGACAGGGTTTCTCTATGTAGCCTTGGCCAACCTGGAATTCACTTTGTTGGCCAGGCTGGTCTCAAATTCACAGAGATCCTCCTGCCTCTGCCTCCCAAGTGCTGGGATTGAAGGCGTGTGCCACCACTGCCCAGCCAAATTTGGAGTATTTTACTTGCAGACATGTGTTGTACAGGTGGTGTGACTTCATGGGAATTAGATTAGTGTATGTGTGTGTGTGTGTGTGTGTGTGTGTGTGTTTAGCCTATATATATGTGTGTATATATGTGTGTGTTTGTATATATATCCTGAGGAGCCTATCTTGCTATAACCACAGCATCTACTTAGGTCATTAAAAGTCATTGCTTGTCCCTTTGAGCCAGGTCTCCATATCGCTAAGGAAAGCTGTCAGGCTGATACTGAAAAATCAAAGTTAAAATTGCTTCAGTTGGTACAGGAGCCAGCAAGTCGAACAGCAGAAATGAAGAAAGTGTCAGCAGCAGATGTCACAACAGCCGCAGACTGGAACCACCGGAAATGACTGTACCTAGTAGAATGAGTGGCTTGTGGTGTGTGTGCACAGTTGAATACTAGTCAGTAGTGAAGATGACCCACGCACATCAGCATGGAGGAGTCGCTGTGATGAGATGGGAACCACCAGGCTCTCAATACTCGTTGAATGACTCCCTTTCAGGGATGAGCAGTCCCTGTGGTTCAAAGTTAAGCTAATGATGCTGTGTGTCAAGGGAGGAGAATGACTGGGGCTTCTGGCAGCACCTGTTTCTGGATTTGAGGGTGGAACTAGTTTTCTAAGTGTTTCCACTTAGTAAAAATCCACTTACTCGTTTACTTTTTGAGGCCCTTGCCTGTATGCATGTTGTTTTTCCATACAAAATTTAGCTTTGGGGGAAAAAAATGACACACTGCCTTCATCAAAGCTGGTGGGTACTCAACTGTGTGCTGTCCCCATCTCACCTCTGGCCTATCTTGTCTTATGTCATCCTAGCAGTTACAGCAGTCTCATCTGCCCCGCCAGCACCTCCAGCAACAGCGGACACCATACCCAGTGCAGCAAGTCAATCAGTTCCAAGGTGAGGCCATCCCATCGTGTGTGTGCCTGCTGGTCCTGGCTTCCCACCAGTCTGGGGCCAGCGCATTGCTTCCCATGCTTGGTTTATATCCAGGTAGTAACCAGTGAACCTAATAACCGGCAGACTAAAAAGAGCAACCACAAAGGATTCCTGGAGGACTCCTTTGATGCCTGCTGATCCTTGGTGGTCATAGAGAACTTCTAGCCAGCCCAGGGTGAAATGTAGCGGCAAGACTCAGACCGTTCTTCATTGTCAAGGCTGCAGATCATTTTGATAGCTGAACATCCTATAAGGACAAGCTAGTGCTGTTGGGCCCATTACCAGTGTTGTTTGCTTGGCTAGACAGTCATCTTAGTGGCAGAGAAGTAGGGAGGGGTGAGGGAAAAAGGAGAGGGGAGGGAGGGTGAAGGGAGGGGAGAGGTGCAGAGAGGTTGCCAATCCAAAAGGGTGGGCTTTGCTACAGAAAGACACGAGATTCTTTGCCAAGTAACAAGAGACAGGATGGCTTCTTTTTCTAGCTGCAGACACAGGCCAATGCTACAAGATGGATCTAAAGTCTGTCTCCCTGGTCAAATAGCTTGTAGGCAGCGGTAATGACCTTCTGCCTCAAATCCTACTTTGGTCTTAAAGGAAAAAATAAAAACAATCAAATGGGGACCTCATTGACTGGATTCCCTCCTGAACTGAATTCCACTTCACAAAGAGAATATGCAGTGAATAGACATTATTTATTCTTCCTCCTCTTGGCCCTCCTCCTTTTCTCTTCTTCATCCTCCTCCTCCTTTCCTAGGCAGAATCCCACCTAGAATTCACTGTGGAACCCAAGCTTAAGCTCTCAATCCTCATGCCTCCCTGTCTTCCAAGTTGATAGGCTTACAGGCATGTATCACCACACTCAACTTAGCCGTGGTACATTTTCCTGACACTCAGAAAAGATGGTATCCCACTGACTTGATGGCATGATACCCAGAATAGGAAATGACTTGCATCTGAATGTGAACAAACAGAACGCTGGGGTATGACCTCAATTTTCTGTGTCTATTTAAATATAAATAAGAGTTGGCAGGGATCTTCTCTGGATGCTGGGATTCAGGTGACTTTAATTTCTGCCTTTGTACTTTTCAATACTTTGCAAAAATTTCACAACTCACCTGTTATAATCATTTAAGTAATGACCTTTTGTGAAGCTGTGTTGAAGTAGATCCTTTCATATACAGGACTGTCATTCCCAAGGGAAGGTTCCAGCAACATCTTACAACATACTGATACAAAGAATAATGGATGATAGCTGTCTTTTTCTCCCCTGTAGGTTCACCCCAGGACATAGCAGCTGTGAGAAACCAGGCAGCCCTCCAGAGCATGCGAGCATCAAGGTTGATGGCACAGAATGCAGGCATGATGGGAATGGGACCGTCCCAGAATCCGGGGACAATGGCCACAGCAGCAGCCCAGTCAGAGATAGGACTGGCCCCCTATAGTGCCCCTCCAGCCAGCCAACCCGGAATGTACAACATGAGCACAGGAATGACCCAAATGTTGCAGCACCCGAACCAAAGTGGCATGAGCATCCCACACAGCCAAGCCCAGGGACCCAGGCAGCCTGCCTCTGGCCAAGGGGTAGGCATGGTGAGTGGCTTCGGTCAGAGCATGCTGGTGAACTCAGCTCTTTCCCAGCAGCACCAGCAGTTGAAAGGACCCGTGGGCCAGGCCTTGCCGAGGCCCCAAGGCCCACCAAGGCTTCAGAGTGTCATGGGAACCGTCCAGCAAGGAGCACAAAGCTGGCAACAGAGGGGCTTGCAGGGAGTGCCTGGGAGGACTAGTGGAGAGTTGGGACCATTCAACAATGGCACCAGCTACCCGCTTCAAGCTGGTCAGCCAAGACTGACAAAACAACACTTCCCACAGGGACTGAGCCAATCAGTCATGGACGCTAACACTGGCGCAGTGAGAACCCTCAATCCTGCAGCTATGAGCCGTCAGATGATGCCACCACTCACAGGACAGCAAGGTACCAGCCAGGTCAGGCCGTTGGTCATGTCTGGTCTGAGCCAGGGTGTCCCTGGCATGGCGGCATTCAGCCAGCCCCCAGCACAGCAGCAGATAGCAGGAGGCAGCTTTGCTGCAAGCAGCCAGGGCCAGGCTTATGAGCGGAACCCCGCTCAGGACATGTCATACAATTATAGTAGTGAGGGTGCTGGGACTTCTTTCCCTGGCCTCCCAGACAGTACAGACCTCGTGGACTCCATCATCAAAAGTGGCCCGGGGGATGAGTGGATGCAAGAGCTTGATGAACTATTTGGTAACCCCTAGTCAGGAGGGGCCCAAGCTGTAGTGGTGGAAGGCCTCACAGGCAAGAAAGAAACAGGATGGTTCCCCATCCTTGTTTTTTGTTTTTATGACCCATGTAAACTGAGAAAACAACAGCTGGCTGACAGTAGAAGGTACAGGTGTCAATCCCCAGCTCTGTGGGGCTTCATTCCACCTGCCTTCCACAGAGCACTCAAGCAGAGAGGCCACGCAGACACCTGCTTGGAGAGAAGGGATATGGAGAACAGGTGGGTAGGTCGAGGCAGCAAGAGTTCCTCGGCTAAGCACCCCTGGGATCTACTGGTCCAGAAGAAGTCGTCCCAGCCCAGAGGGACTATGGCCTAAGATGAGGTCCCCTTAGACCTTCCTGCCTTAGGTCCCGAGACCTCAGAGATGGAGCCTCAGCCAGAGAAAGCCTAGCAAAGGATGCTGGGAGACACAGAGGCCGTGTGCATAGGTCACAAATGTTCCAGATGCTGGAAGGAAGGAGATGTATACTTCCAAGACATGTCCCTGGATTTGGAGGCAGGCATGAAAAACAGTGAGCTTGCCTGAGCTGGCCCTAGGGAGACAAGCAAGGATCCTGCAGTTCCGTCTGTCCCCTGCCCAGCGATGATCCTCAGGAATGGTAAGGTGTTGCTGCCAGCCCCCTTACCAGGATAGCCAACTATGCTTGAGAAGGGCCCGTCTAGTAGCCCTGAAAGTCAGCTTCTGCCAGTGGCCGTGGTGGCCATCACTCTAGGTTGCACTGAGCTTCCCAGAGTCCTCATCCAATCAGACACATCTAGTTGGTTTTCGTGTTTATGGCCATAGCATGGAAAGACCCCTGTTGAGTTCAGTGTCCGCTGCCTCTGGTCCTCCTGGCCTCTATGCCAGCCTTGCCTTTGTGTCTCTCTATACACTGAGGCAAAGGCAAAGTCAGCGCAAGAGGAACTTAGACAGCACCTGGCATCCAAAGGTCCGCTGGAGCCAAGCGGGCTAAACTGATAAAAGCCGCAGGTTTTATAAGAGTCACACCCATACTTCTGCTGTCCCCAGGGAAGAATGGCCTGAAGATCCCAGCTCCTTCAGATGGTGCCAACAATGCCACTCCAGAACCAGTCTTGTTTATTTATCGACCCCATCATCAGAAAGGCAGATATCAAATGCTAGAGATGGAAAACCTGAAAGATGTAACTCCATCTTACCAGTTGGGATGTTAAAGAGAGGGAGATGTGGTCCCTGCCCTGAAGGCAATCCACTTCTAAAGCTGAGCCGCAGGTGCGGTTCCCCCAAAGCTGCCTGAAGGGAAAACGAAGAAGGAAGAACAGATTCCATGGTCACAAGCCTCCCACAATCCTTGGAGGTCAGGTGACATTTATCCATGGTGTTTATTGACCTCCTAACTACCGAGATGCATGTACACGCACGCACGCAAGTGAGCACGCGTGCACACACACACACACACACACACACACACACACACAACTGGTTCATTCTATGTCTTCACATACATCTTACTCCAGAAACCTGAGCCTGTGGGAACTGCATCGGCCATACCCAAAAAGTCCACAGAGGGTGCACCGTGTAGAAGGCTGCAGCAGGGCACTCTGGATCTGTTCTCCATATCCCGAGAGTTCCAGACCTGCTCTGACAGGAAGTAAAGCCGGAGGCACCAGGGTGAGGACCTGTGAGCCTCTCCAAAGAGGTGATGGCAGGGTGACTATGAACTCCCAGAATGGGGTGGTACTGCCACTAGGGAAACTGAGTGGAAACACGTGAAAACCAAAAAGTAAAATAAGAAAGAAAAGTGAGAAAACAGAATACAAATTTATCACCTTTTCCTGCCAGGTTACAGGAAAAAAAAAAAGTATATAAGCAATGAGGAGGAGCGGGGTGTGGAGAGAGTGGGCTCCATTGTCCTTTAAAAGCCTCCTGGAAGTGCTCAGTCTGAGGACCAACTAATAGATGATAGATTTTAATGAGGTCGTTTTGTTTTGTTTTTACTACGGTGCTGATGTATATGTAATGTCTAAAGAAAAGTTATTTGTACATAAGTTTTTACAATGCTACAGATATCACTGGGTCTACTATATGTAAAAAGTATACATATAAATATATTATATATATAATGTTTGTTTAAAATAGAGTATTTTTATTTCCTCCCTAACTCATCATCGAAGAGGTGGCGTACACTTCAGATGACATCTAAGTACTGGTTTATACTGTATGGCCTATGGCAACTTCCTCCATTTAATTCAGAGGTTTCTAGCTTTCTGCTTTTACTTTGTGCAGCAAGCATTGCTCATTTCCATTAAGGAATGTACAGGACTCTGAAATGTTGACACATCACTTTTAAAGAAAAACAACCGACGGAAATAAACGTCACTCTCTGAATCAATCCATCGCATAGTTCACTTTAGAATCCCCTCTCTGTCCCAGCGTAGTTAAGCAGATGTATCATTCCTGGGTTTTCATGGACTAACTTCAGATTCCTTTCTCGGAATTGTGCTGTCGTTATTTAAACAATTATTTAACAATAGAAATCAATCACTCTCAAGCCTTCTTAATTCAACCACACAACCGAGACTTTCTGAATTTACTAGAGCACCCTGAGGGGTGTGGTGAAAGGGACAGAGGTCTAACATGAAGAAGTCTGTTCATAGATCCAGAACAATTCAAAACTAGCTCAGCTAGAGCATTCAGAAAATAATGGGGCCAGTGAGATGGCTCATCGGATAAAGGCGCTTGCCACCAAGCCTGATGACTTGGGTTCAATCCCTGGAACCCACAGGGTGGCAGGAGAGGACCAACTCCCACAAGTTGTTATTTGACCTCTATATGAACCCTATGGCTCATGAGCATGGGCAATTTTGACTCCTTCTCTTCCCTGTGTCCCCTGTTTCTGCTAGCCCACGATACATCTGTCAAAGCAGGGTCTTACCCAGCTTTTCCTGTACCTGCCCTGAGCTGAAAATGATTCAAGTTTATACTCCTCTAACTCTAGCCAATAACTGGCTGTTGCAGGATAATAAAAGGCCAGTAACTTGTCTGGACAAACTCTGAGGATATATGGTGTCCCAGCTTGCTGCAGGATCAGGCAGAGGCTAGGGCGTGGCTTCCACTCCGCCCCCTTGCTTGATTTCTTCCTGCTCTCTGCCTGTTGCCTCTCTCTCTTTTTCCCCCTCCTCCTTCAAGCCCCTCATTAATATATCACATGCATGAGAATCCATTAAACTTAAAACACAGTAAAATGTTTCAAAACTCTTGAATTAAGCAGAAAATAGACCACAGAGAAACATCATCAGTGGAAACAGTTCCAAAACAAAGGTGAGTTTTAAATACATAAGCCAAGAGAAAGAATGAATTTGACTGTGGAAGGAGAGGCTAGCTATGCTTCCAGATTGGCTGATGGTGCTATGGAGAAAAGTAGCCTGCCCCTGGGCTGGCCCCTGTATGAGCACAGACCTTACCAGATAACAGGATGGCAAAGGGAATTGTTTTGGTTGGAAGGAGAATGAGAAAGGGAGTTGACAACAGGGTGAAGAAATGAAGCTCTGAGAAGAACAATGGCTCCTCACTTTCAAATTTATACTAAAATCTGTCGGGCGCTGGATGAGTGGAATATACCTTTCTTCTTAAAAAAAATAAATCTATAATTTTATTAAGATAAAACTAAATGTGTGGTATGAAGTTCATGCTTAAACATTTTCACTCGTGCCTCAGCGGATTCTACAAGATGATTGTAGATGCCAGTCTAGAAGATGCCAAGAACTGGTGATGGATCTTCTGAGTCAAGACAGTATCGGGCTGTGGCCAGGACACCAGCTGGTTCATAAGATTTTTGTGTGTCAGGGCCCAATGTGAAAGTCTCCTGAAACCAGGGTGTTTGAAGTCCTTTGATCCAAGGACAGTAACAAGCCATGGTTACCATCCACCCCTTGCTGTAGCAGCAACCACCCTGGGCACAATAAATGCCCTCCCCTCTGTCACCTACACCACAGACATGGCAACTGTCATTGCACCATGAGACTTAGAGTCTACCTTTCTCCTCCCAATGTATGGTTCATACCCAAGTCATAACAATACTGTCTTATGTTTTTGTTCTTGTTTTGGGCATCACATACACACCTTTAATCCCAGCAGAAACAAGTGAATCTCTGTGAGTGTAAGGCTACCTGGTTGACATCATCACATACACATACACACCTTTAATCCCGGCAGCAACAAGTGAATCTCTGTGAGTGTAAGGCTACCTGGTTGACATAGTAAAACCCTGTCTCAAAAAAACCATGTTTCCCATGTGTGACCTGGGTGTTAAGTCCCATGGCAGTCTGCAGTGAGGGGATGAAGAGGCAGCACGCCTAGGTTTTTGAAAAGTCACTGGGCTTATGACACACATGCAACTTCTCCATGGATGAGTCTCAGGTGAGCTGTTTCAAGGACTGTGCCTGAGAAATGGGGAGCTGGGGGGAGGGGACAGATAGTTTGATATTTTTCTTTTTAGTGATATTTTGAACATATTTTTTGAGGTTTAACCATGGAAACAAAGTAGGAAGGAACAAGACTACAACATGTGACCCATATCTTATCTTCTGTTCCTTTGTATTGTCTTCTTTTCATCCTCTCTCTCTCTCTTTCTCTCTCTCTTTCTCTCTCTCTCATGTAGTTCAAAGGACATGAGATTCTTATTCTAATATTCTATGGTCCAGCTGTCACAGGTGTCCATCTCACATCAAATAACAAGCAGAAAGAGGAATTACTGAAGCTTCCATGTTCTGGGGGGCCCTCGTGTCCCTGCCCGTACATGGGACATGCCCATCAGGGACAGACCAACATTAATGGGTCCTGCAAAGCCACTATGTCCCCCATCGCATCTCTACCACAGAACAAAAGAAACTTCCCAGCTATGGGAAACCTGATTTGTTTGTTTATTTCAACGTATTTTTAATAGTTTAAAACTTTGAACATCTCCCAAACCATCAGGGAAACAGAAAAAGTGTCATCAGCTCAATTTAACTGTGGTTAATGCTTTGCCTTAAGTACTTCTTATGCAGAATTTGGGAAGCATTTCAAAGCACATCACGTGCCTGCGACCACTCCCCCTCAGCACCTGAGCATGCCATGGCAGAGGATATTCTCCGCCCTAACGGCCCTAACCACGGTGTCATTAAAACACCCACCACGGTTAGCGTGCGTTCCCTCATCATTTCTATTCTTACTCCAAGCCACATCCAGGTAGTCACAATCATCTCGCAAAGGTCTCCCACGGCTGTCCTTTCTTCTCTGTATGGGACTTCTCAAAGTTCTCCCTGCCCTTTGCTCTTCTCTAAGACAAAAGGCCTTCCTCCTCTGCCCCTCTTCTCAAGACATTGTTGTCAGGAAATGGTTTCGGAGTATAAATTGGTCAGATTTACTAATCAGAGCATGTGTGGACAACAGTCAGACTGCTGAACAGACACTGCCTGGCCAGCTCTGGAAGGTCAGAACAGATGGATCATGAGATCAAAGACAGCCCGAGCCTCTGTCTCAGCAACAACCCAGAAACAGCTCTTTGGCCAGAAGCAAATGCAATGTACTATGGGGAAGGCTCTACCCAGAGTCTTATAGCCCAATTAAATAGTAATTAAAATAATAAAGACGTTTCCTGGTGGCAATGGATTAGAACAAAAACAAATCCCGCGGTAATATCTGAAGATGTGAAGTGTTAAAAGCCTGGCACACCCTTTGTCTGTTTCCACATGTGTTTAACCATCTGTGTGCGTGTGCATGAGTGTACATGCGTATGCATGAGCATGCTCAAACTAAATACAAAATAGAACTTATTTTGAGACATTAAAAATTTGGAAAGTTTTGTTCTTCTTCCAAATGACATGTGAATGCAGTAAATATGATGTAGGGCATTTTTTAAAAGGGTTAGCTACAGAGTGCTGGGGTCCTATGCTGTGCCCATCGGGTGACAGGAAAAATACTCAGTGTCTGCCATGCAACTTCCCATTGAGGGGTACCTTGTCCATAGTCGGTCACCCAGCAATGAGAGAATGGGACTTAAGTGCAAATATCCCCTTTCCAAGCCAGTCAGTGCCTTACCACTGCTGTCCAGGAGGTTGCTAGCTCATCCTGCTATTCTGAAAGTTCTGTTACTTATTTCCTGGTCTATTATTCATATTCTAGTACAGAAACAGGCATCTGGAGGTGGGGATACCAAGCTGACAGAGGGCTCTGCAGAGTGGAGGAGCCCAGTTCCTCTTTTCCTAAGGTCTCTGAGGCTGTAAGCCGGAATCACTCCCGGTTCTCAGCTGAAAACCTGAAACATCAAATGAATGGCGCCAGGTAGTGACTGCGTGCACATCAAGACAGTAGTCACTCAGCTTCCCATGTTCAGTCCTCCCACAAGTCCCACAAGACACAGGCGTACAGTAGAAGCCACATCAGATTTTACCACTGTCAGCGGGACCCACCTCCCTCTGCCAACGGGCATGAATGTCCAGGTCCCTGGGTAGATCCTTAAAACAATGCTTTTGTTTTTTCTTTTTTCCTTTGTTCTTTATGAAGTACACCTCCACCCTCAGATTCGTCTTGTGTGGTTAGTTCATGACTCCCTTCTCTGGCTATCTCATGCATTTGGCATCTCTTACTCCTGGCATTTGTTGCTGTGCCGTAGGCAGTGCTGAGGGCCTATCTATCTGGGCTGCTTCTCCCTGGAACTTTTCATGGGGACAGAAGCTGTGTCAGAGGCTATAGTGATGATTCACATAAATGCCAGCATGTGGGTCAAGCTTCACTCTCACTGAAACAGTCACGCCTTCAACAGGCACGCCAGAGCCAGAGCCCAGCACTGAAGTACCAGCGGTGTAGGTGGGCCCACACCAGGAAGCACGCTTCAGAAGAGTGGCCAGCAAAGGGGGTGTTTTCACAAAGCTACAGCAAGACAAACAAATGAAAAGTCTTTTATTTAATAAAAGAACTTTTATTTAACACAGGACATCACGTTGTCTTTAGAGTGCCAAAGCCTTGGCAAGCATGGGAGGGAAGAGAAAACCTTAGAAGGGATGCCTCAGTTTCTTGGCAACATGGAGGTCCAGGTATTCATCCAGGAATCTGCTTGCTAATCCCAAGACAGCTATGACAATCAACAAGGCCAAAATGCCCAGGCTCAGCTTGAAACCAGTGATCCTGCAGGGTAAGCATGAAGAGGTGAGGTGGCTGATTGGGGTCCTGGCAAAGGCTACTCCTTGTTGGAACTGCTCAGAGCTTCAGCAATAGGCCCTTTGAAATACTTAGCATATTTCATGAAAACTTAAGGGGATGCCATGCCACTGGGGCCAACCAGCCCCCTGCACAGCTACCCCACCTAAACATTCTAGGAACAATGCAGAGTTCTTGCTGGGGTTTGCAGCTCATGCATTGAGTAGATTCCCACCTTCACTTTCTCATCTCATGCCTAATGGCAAGACTGGCCTCGGGCAACATGGGTCACTCTGGTCACCAATATACCATTTGTTCTAACCCTCTCGGGAACAGAAAATACATCCTGCTGTACCTTGCACAGATATGCCATCATTGGGTTCTCCTTACCTTCCATCAGTAGTTTCTGCATAGCCCCAGAAGTACTTGTGACGGGCGTATACATATACGAGACCCAGACAAGCCGCAAAAACTATGCAAGGGATAAAATAAAGAAAATGTATAGAACTTAATGTGTGTTTCACAAAAGAAAGTGTGGGGACTGAGAAAGTATTTTAAAAATATTTTCCTGACATAAATGTGTGTGTGTGTGTGTGTTGTATCCCAGAATAAATAATTTGTATGATAATAAAAGAAAAACTTTTCTAAACAAGTGAAATATTTGAATATGCAATTCACACAAGAAGATAAATAAGTGTGCCAGTAATCACATGAAAAATGTTTTGACACAATTCAAGGTCAGAAAACTGCTAATTAGAAACTGCAATGAGAGCCAGCAAGATGGCTCAGTGGTTAGAAGCAAGCTTGAAGTAGCAAGTCTGGCTACTGAGGTCAAGCTCCAGAACCCAATAGAGGAAGAAAGTGAGTGCACATTTCACAGCATTGGCCTTTGAAATCCATGTGGAAATGTGGCACATGCTTCAACATGCACAGAGCATACACACACACACACACACACACTAATAATAAGCAAAAATAATTCATTTTAACTATGTTTAGACTACAGTGAGATATTACCTTCAAGTACCTAGCAGAATGCCTAGAATTTTTTGTTATTGTTTTAGTTTGCTTGGTTGTTTTCAAGCATGTTTTCTCTATGTGTAACAGCCTTGCCTGTCTTGTAACTCACTTAGTAGACAAGGCTGGCCTTGAACTTAAAGAGCCACCTGTCTCTACCTCCTTTAATGCTGGGATCAAAGGTGTGCAACACTAAGATAGGCATGGCTAGAATTTTAAGACCAACGGTATAAAATGGTGAGTGAGGATAAAGAGCAACTGGAATCCGCACCCATCATTCGTAGGATGTAAAATCACACAGCAACTTTGGGGGAAAATTCTGGGGAAGTTTCATAAGAAAGTAAAATTATCATGTAACCCAACCATTCTATTCCTATGTATTTACTCAAGAAACAAGAAGGCACATGTGCATAAAAAGACCACTCAAGAATATTCATGAAAACTGTGATTGGTCATCATAATTATGAATTATGTGCTCGTAATAAGCAAAAGAGGGAATAGTCTGGCAGTTTATCATTGGGAGACTTGATAACCAACCAGTATAGTCATTCAGTAACTGACATTGCACAGTGAATGAAAGAAATGTACTTGCAGCAACATGGTGGATCTCAGTGGCACTCTGCTGTGGACTGATGCCTTACAGCTCGAGTGTACTATATTATTCCAGTCACATGAAGTTCTAGAATGGAAAAAAAAAACAAACAAACTGTGGAAAACTCAGAGCCATGGAAGGAGCAAGAGTAGATGGGTGCAGGGGCAAGAGTAGACCTCCTGAGTGGCAGTCACATTACATACCTTGACAGAGAATTGAATCACTCAAGGGTTAAACTCCATTGATCTGTACATTTTATCACTCTTAAGTTTTATCCCCCAAATATGCAAAGCACAATATTGATGTTGCTGGTCCTGACCAGTCAAAATATTGATATCTTCCCTAAATGAGGCCCCTTGCTCAGCACCACACAGATGCAAACTGGATGTCTAGAGCCTCTGTCTGGGACTGTGACATGCTGTTGAATTAAAGTCACTATTTTACTTGGTCACCAAGACTTTTTTTTTCTTTTTTAATTTCCTGTATATGCCAGGGGTTTTCTAAGGATTTGGTTAGCAGTTGTTGGCTTTTATGAAGTTATTATTCTAGAGATCTAGAATAATAACATAAAAGCTGGAACTCAGTAAAAATAGAGAGCTTGGCCAGTGTGCTCAGTTCCTTGGGTTAAATCTTCAGCACCCCAAGAAGATAAAACAAAGAGAAAGAAATGTTATTGTCTATCCATAGTTGATCCTTTGTATTATAGAGAAGTGTGTGTGTGTTGCATGTTGTGCATGTTCATGTAGACATGTGGGTATGTGAATGGGCTTACATGCATATACTATGAAAGCCAGAGACTGATGTCAGGTATCATTCTGTCATTTCCCCTGCCCCATACCCTTTGTTTTGTTTTGTTTTGTTTTGTTTTTTTGAGCCAGGGTCTCTCATTGAACTTGGAGCTCTCTGGCTAGAGACTATCCCTGTCCTCCTTTCTTGCCACCCGGTTACAGGTGCATGTGCCTCTGTGCCAGGTTTTCTGTGTGGGTGCTGGGTCAGAATTCAACTTTAAACCTGGCCCTCTAAGGACTGAGCCATCTCACCAGCCCCGATGGAGTTTTATTCCATCAATAAAGAAGACATGAGACAGAGACAGGAAGATTGCAGGCTCTAAAGTATGGAAAAGCCAAGGGGCACTGTGGGACAGAAGGAAGTGGAGTTCTGTCTTCTTAGAAAGGTCTCTGGAAGACACTGTTGAAGGGGGAGGTACCAGAGGATGGGAACAAAGAGACTCAGAGTAGTGACAGAGCTGCCTAGCATCCGAAGATGTTAACATTCTGGGCATGTTCTGTTGAGAATTACTATCCCAACCTGCTGACTTATTCTCCCAAAGCCAATGAACAGCCAGATGTAGTCAGGAGCCAACTTTGGGAGAGAAAAGAATGACTATTCCCAAGAATCCTTTTCCTGCTTGGCAGTCCACCTCATTCAGCCCCTCATGGGACAATCGGAAGGAGTCAAGTGACAGAGACAGAATCCCATTATCTAAAGGCACTTCCCTTATTCGTTGTTAATATGCCCTTAAATGAAAAGGAACAGCCACTTTCACTCATGCCATTAAGGAACAAAAGTATGAGTTGAGTAAAGTTTAAAAGTCATTCTCTAAAGGTCATTGTGTCTGAAATTCCTCGGTTGACAGTAAAAATTGCAAGAAAGAGATTGATGAAGGTTCCTTGGAAGAGGCTGGATTTTAGTTTATTAAATCTTAGCAATCAAATGAATACCCAGATGAGGCCATTAGGCCATTACAGTTACCAGGAATCAAAGGGGATTCTATTTCCCCAGCTAGGGTATCCATACAGGTCCCCAAATACATGGGTATGATAAGCCCTCAGGTCAGGAAAAAAAAAAAAAAAAAAAAAAACTTCAGCCAAACAGAAAGGGCATGCTTGAAGACCTGCTGCGTTCAAAGTGCAACACCATGTCCTTCAGGACTCTTTGGGCAAATAGCAGTAGACCTGCTATGCCCTTGAATAGAAGATCTTCTCCACAATAGTGAATACCAGGTTGGACAACTTAACACTTGTGCATCTCAGTTTCTTCATCTGTAAAGTGGAAATCAATTATTGACTCTGTTTCATACGAAAGTTTAAATCCTACAAATCTATGAGGTTCAAGAAATGACCTGGCACACAATAAGTGTTCCATAAACATTGCCATTGTGAAAATGAATTGCTTTCTGTGCTCTGCTCCTTTGGTTAAATTAGATTATTAGATTTGAAGTCAAGGCTCATGCCATTTTTATCCTTGATTGTCTAGCACATAGTTTGTTTGAAGTTATGTATGGCCTATAGCCACATGACCTTGGATGAATCCTATTTTATCCAAGATGCTTATGTTGGGGAGTAGGAGGATGCTCTGACCCAAACTCTTGGCCTTGTACATTCCAGGCAAGTATTCTTCTACTGAGCTGCATTATTAACCCTTGTTTTGATGTTGTTGCTGTGATTATATCCCAATCAGTTTCCCTTCCCTCCCCTCTTTCCCACCCCACCTGCTCCTTCTCCACTGTTTATCTTCAATTACAGGTGGGCCTCCCATGGACATCAGCCAGCCATGGCACATCAAGTTGCAATGAAGCTAAGCACCTCCTCTTCTATTAAGGCTAGAGGAGGCAACACAGTAGGAAGAATGGAGTCATAGACAGCTCCTGCTCTCACTGTTAAGCATCTCATATGAAGGTCACACATACAGAAGGCCACATACATACCCCATGCAGGCTCCTGGGTGTCAGTTCTAAGAGTCCAGGCTCATTTTAACCCTTGCTTTTTGAGACAGAGTCTCACTATACAGCTCTGCCTCTACTGGAATCTCAGATACTTACTGCTATATCTAGTGCTAGTATTCAGGTTTACTTTTTAATTATTGAACTAAATCACTTCCTATAACTTGGAAGTACACAGGCATTACTTCTTATATCAGTAGCTATATGGTCATCTATCTCCCGCTTAATCATGTTGAAAAACAGCAGCCATCTTTGGGATGAGTTGGCGTGTTCTTATAATTACCTTGGTTGAAATACCATCCAGCCATCCACAGGGTTATGATGAATACAGAATAAAACTCCAAGGAATTTTGACTGCAGGGGGGGAAACAAAGATGAATTTAATTCATGAAGAAACATACACTAATGTATTGACTTTCCATCCTCAGGTGAGCATTTAACCTATTAAAAACTAAAACAATACAAAAACTTACACAGGAAATCTAAAGGGGCCTTCCACTTAAAAAGAGTATTAAAGGTGAGACTCCAACCTTGCTCAACCACAGAGCCTATGCAAAAACATTCTCATACACATAAGTTGTCACTAGTGGGGCAAGCTGTGGCTTTTTTCTAGAAGACAATCCTCCAGAGCCTACATACCAGCCTGTGGCTTATCCAAGTACTCAAGAGGCTACTCAACTCCTAGTAAACAGAATTATTCTTAAAAAAGTCCCTGACACCCATAGCCTTCCACTTGAGTCACTCAGGTGGTACTTAAATAATTCACCTAAAACCTTCTGAGGTAAATAAGTGAGTATATTTAATTCTCATTCTGTGTAGTGGGACAGTAAGACCCAAGAGCCAGTTGACCTGTGTGCTTTTAAGATCATTGACATCTCTCGCAGAGGACCTGAGTTCATTTCCCACACCCACATGGCAGCTCACAACATCTGTAAGTTCTGGCCTCTGTGAGGCCCAGGAACACAAATGCTACACAGATATCCATGCAGGCAAAACAATCATAGGCAAAGCAAAAATTAAAATTAGTAGACAGTAACATCAAATTGCCACTACACCATGGGAAATTCAGGTGGAAGTTTTGATATTATTGTTTAAGCACGAGGGAATAGTTCTCCAGCAGCTACAATGAATGCATCTGTACCTAGCAGAGAAGGAGAAAGATGAGATGAAACAATGGTCAGGTTAGTGGTCAGTGTTATTAAGAAACAGCACAACCAGATGAGATGAATTTCACAACAGTCATTTTAGCATCACTTGAAGCCATGTAAGAATAATGTGTGATTTCTGAGCCTGGTGACACACACCTGTCATCTCAGCAATTTGGGAAGCTTGAGGCAGATTTGCACATTATTTAAGTCCTGCCTGGGCTACATAATGAGTTCAAGGCCAACCTGAGCAACTTAGGGAGACCTCGTCTCAAAATGAAAACCACAAAAATGGGGTGGGAGGGCTGGAGAAGATGGTTTAGTGCCTGCAGAGGACCTGAGTTCAGTTCCCACCAGCCATGTCTAGTGGCTTATAATCACCTACCTGTCACTCCAGATCCAGACCACTCAGTGCCCTCTCTTGGCCTCTGTAGGCACACATGTACATAGACATAAAATACATATATTCATGCATACATAGCCATACATCTAAACAAAAATAATAATAAAATCTTTTTTAAAGAGCTGGGGTGTTTTCACTGTTGGGGTGTTTTCCTATCAAGTGCAGGGCTCTAAAGTCAATTCCTTCCCCCTCATTAGAAATGAGAAAGTGAATAGTTGACAAATCCCACCCACACATACAGGCCATGGCTGATGCAGAATCCTGAAGAATAAGTGAAAAAAAGTGAGGACCGCCTTTTGCTCTCTGGTGGCCTGGAAATGGGATATGAGCAGTACTAATGTACAAATGCTCTCTTCTCTCTCATCATTTCTTTAAGGCCTAAAAGTCTGTGAGTGGTCCAAGAAAGTGCTGCTCTGGAGCTTAACACAAGCCAGAGGTGCAGCCCTCTGGTACTCAGAGAAGAAGACTAAGGTATGTTTTTCTCTGCATCCTTGGCATGGTTTTGTTTCTGATGGTTTGATAAGTTTGTGAGTAGCTGCGGTAGGCTAAGTGAAAAGATGCTTTCTAAGTTTCCATAAGAAGAATAATGGCAGTTAGCTAAAAATAAAAACCTATTTCTCAGCATTTTCCTTTCCTTGGCTAGATCCAGAGAATCTTGTCCAGGGAACAAGAGAAAACAGCACAGGAGGGTTCTAACCCTTTCCACTCAGTGCAATTTCCTGGCCCTTTCTGGAAGCATAATACAATTGCCCTATCCTTTATCAGGTTTCATGATACACCCTGAACTACTCCAGATGAGTTTTCCCTTATCTTCTTACTCAAAATCAGCTGTGCCATTTTAAGCACCTCAGAAGCATCATTCACAAAAGTCTATTTGCAGGGCTTTCTTTGCAGTGAATTAATGACCTTGGTGCTGCATTTGAGGAGCAGAGATACTGCACAGAGCCTACTGGCCACACCCCTGTTCCAATGTAGGGGGGGCAGTCAGGGAGCCTGTGGTCTCTTTGTCCATAGAGGCTGACACAATGATGTGTTTTTGTTCCCCTGCCTGAAAGAGGAGAAAAGCCTCTTGGAAGGCAGTTACGCTCACCACTATACCACCAACACAACACAAGCAAGAAAAGAGAAAGGAGAATGGAGGGGCTGCTGTGGATCTTCCCCTGCTGTGCAAGCTGGAGAACTCCTCAGTGGAGACCAGCCTGAGTATGGATGGGTCACCTTTGTGAAGGCCTTAGTGAGGCTCCAGACACAAGCAGTACCAGCCCTCAGGTGACAAGGCACAGTTCGAGAGGGGGCACTGAACCTCACCTCCTCCCACTGCAGCATCCAGAGAAGCGCCCAGGACTTGGCCCAGCGTCTTAGATAGGGTTTCTATTGCTGCAACAAAACACCAGGGCTAACAAGCAAGTTGGGGAGGAACAGGTTTATTTTGCTTACACTTCAGTATTGCTGTTCGTCCCTGAAGGAAGCCAGGACACGAACTCAAACAGGGCAGGTTCCTGGAGGTAGGAGCTGATGCAGAGGGCATGGAGGGGTGCTGCTTATTGGCTTGCTCAGCCTACATTCTCAAAGAACACAGGAGAGTCACATCAGTGATAACACCACCCACAATAGGCTGGGCCCTCCCCCATCAATCACTGATTAAGAAAGTGCCTCACAGACTTGCCTGCAGCCTGATCTTAGGAGATATAGTGTCAGTTGAGGTTCCCTCCCTTCAGTTAACTCTAGCTTATGTCAAGCTGACATAAAGCTAGCAGGACACCCAGGTATGGACAATGCTTCAGACCCCAAGGAGAGTACCAAGTGCACTGAGGCCCACCATTTAGCTGGCTGAAGTTGGGGATGGAACTCTGGGAACACTCCAACTTACCGAAGATGAAAATGTTGGTGATAAGATGCAGTGTGATCAGGGGTGGGGTGGGATTAGAGGCCATTGAGATCAGGCAAGAATACATTGCAGCTTTATGTATGCTTATGGGAAGGAAACGCCTAGAGTACTAGGGTGAGTTACTCTATATTCTGCATCTTTATCCCCTACAAAATGGCTCCCTTGTCCACATAGAAGCAGGAGTCACTCCTGGACTCACCCAACCTCATGTCCTTATTTGCAGACATGCCTTGAGCCTTGCTTCCCCCAAAATACAGTGTATTGTTTACTTTCCTCATAGCCATGACAAAGCGCCTGTTGAAAGCAACCGAAGGAAGGACTTGTTTTGTCTCACAATTTGAGGGTACAGTCCACCATAGCAGGGAAGGTCTGGTAGTATTGCTTTACCTTGAGACACCTGGAGTCCCAGTCTGTCTGCTCATTATCACCCAGTGACCACCCTTCCCCCACCAGCAGTACCTCTGAGCCCCTGAAAGCACCTACAGCATGATGGTAAAGCATGCTGTGCCCCATGATAACCACTACTGTAAATTGTCAACAGATACAGTCAACTCAAGGGGACAAAATACTGAAGACTGCTTGACTATGCCAACATCAGGACAATCCGATACGGAAACAATTTTAGCCTCTGTCTAACCACCTGAACAACTACACCCTGTACTTTCCTTAGAGGAATCCTGAGGAAAATTCCTGTGTCAATTGCCCTTCATGAATTCAGTTACTGGTGATGGTTATCTGTGGACTGTCCCTTTCCCTGCATGTCCACATAAGAAAAAAATGGGCTGTGTCAAGTCATTTTCTGATCACAGCCCTCATTGTGCAATAACCCTTAGTTCTTTGAACGCTGACATCCCTGTAGAAATATGGGGCACAGACACTCATTGTTTCAAGCAGATGTCACCAAGGGCACCAAATTCCACACCAGGGAGAGAAACTGAAAAGGTCTTCACTAAAGGGCCAGTAGGGGGAGCTAGTGTCCTGCTTGGCCTGTACTTGAGATACTTTGGGGGGAGGGCGGGACTTAAGTTTTGAAATGGGTACAGACCCTAGTACACTGCCCTTGTTTTTCTGGTACCAAAATGTTTTAGGATATGTGAGTTTTAAGGGAGAAAATAGGAAAGGCCGGAGAAAAGTCGAAACCAGTGGGCACTGTGATGTTCACGTGTGCCATGTGTCCTCGACAAGGTGGAGCAGTGGCTGCAGGCCGTGCCTTGCCCAGAGCAATTCCAGCTAGCAAGCAGGAACTTTTGGCTCCATGTCAAGTGCATATGCCGAAGAAAATAGCTCTGAGTCTGCCCACAGACACCACCAGCTGTCCAGCTCCGTCCATGGGGCACGGACTGAGAGCAAATTTAACCTACGAGTACAAAGGTACCACTTTTACATTTATCAAGATAAAGCAGGAGTGTATGTGTGCCTGGGAAGAGTCAAACCATCCATCAGGCCCAAGACTTCCCAAGCACAATGAAAGTTATGACCCTCGCTTGGACCCCTTGAAAGAAGTAGACCTAGAAATGCTCTGACTGTAGCCCTACCCATTAGTCATTAAACCATCCACTCTGGGCACCTAGGGACCCACAGGCAGATAGCTCTGGCTGTCCCCTGGAGTACAGCTGGGCAAGAGCCCTATCGCATCAAGCAATCCACACCAACTCAAATTGTTGTAGTCAGTCCTGTGTGTCATCTATACTGTCCTATATCTCTGGGGTTCAGCCATGTAACCCTGTGTGGCAGGACTCTGCATGCCTTCAGCAGCTGTCCAAGTAGGTTCCTTGATGTCACATCTGATCTCATACAGCAACCCTCTTTGCATCTGTATCAGCTCTCTGCCTCCAGCAAAGCCTCTATGAACTCTGTGGTCTTCTAACCTTTTTGTAATCATTCTGGTGTGTGTTTGTGTTATAATGTGTGATCTCCA